TGAGCTCTTAACAGGAGAGGAACCAATTTCTTTAGCAAGGGCAGAAGGAGGAAGAAGTTTGGCCTCTCATTTCATTCATTCCATGGAAGAGAATAGTCTCTTTAGTATTCTTGATGCTCGAGTTAGGGAGAGTTCTGCACATGAAGAGATAACAAAGGTCGCTAAACTTGCACATCGATGCTTGAGCTTGAATGGTAAAAGGCGGCCAAAGATGATAGAAGTTGCTGCAGAGTTAGAGCAGATTCGTCTTTTGCAAAACAATTCAAATGGTCAACAGAATCATGAAGAGGTTACGTATGTCAAGAGTGAAGTAACCAATCTCTGGGATGGTACCTCGACATCAATAGGTTCAGGTTTGGACTCTGGAGCATCTTTGTCCATAGATATGCAGCCATTAATTTCCAATAAATCACGGGGATTTAACTGATTTATCCTAGAATGCGTTTATTCCATGTTGAGTAGCATAATAAGCTCTTTCTTTCTTTAGTGTTTGAAAATTTGTAGTTCATCTAATTTTTATTTTTGTTGCTTTGTGGTTTAAAGTTCAAATAAAGTTTATGCACTGCTCGGTTACAATAATTTGATATCATGATGACAGCTAAGAGCATAAGACCATTTCCTTTCCAGTTTTAAATTCTTTGTGTCACAAAAACTTGCCAAGATTAAATTAAGTCAACTTTTAGATTTGGTGCTATGTGCATATTAATATGTGTATGCATGAGTTATTTAATCATACTCCTTAAAATGCTAGCACAAAGTCATTTCCTAATTCCAGCTCAACTATCCTGAAACTTTCACCACTCAGATAAATTTATTTTAGCAGCAGTATTCACAGTAAAGCATTGAGTATATTTTCCTTGCTTGGTTTATCTTATGAAAGTATGAGGAGAAATTTGAAAGGAAAATATAGTTATTCACACCTTCAGCATTAACAAAACAATCATCAGACTAGCATGAAATGCCCTTAATTCCTGTATAGCCAAAATAGCATACTCTAAGATAACATGGTAATTATAGCATTGAAAAACCAGGTAACAAGACTTACCTATGTGCAGAAGCGTCAAAGTAGACAGTTATTCCCTTAAAATAGCCTTCCAAGTAGTTTTCTTCCATCTGCAAACTCGAAAGTCAAAACAAGTATCATAAGACAAGAAGAGGCCTAATTTCCACTGTGCATAATATGGAGAACCAAGATGATATAATTCAGTCTACATCTTTTCATTTTCATCCTTACAATTAAACCAAAAAACTCAAATGCATTTTTGTTTCATCTCAGATAATGAAAATTGAAATACTAGTATTTAAAGTCTTTTTAAAATTTCATAAAAAAAAAAAATCTTTTTAAAATAGAAAGTGAGATAACTAAATTTGACAGCCTCTATTTAACAATTAAGACAACTAATTAGACTAAGTCTATTTAGTAAGTGAGACAACTAAATCAGGCTAAAAGGAGTATTAATTAATTGGTCAACAGGTGAATGAGTTAATGATATCTAAGCATTAGAATTTTTATGTCAAACTAAAAGCTTAGGATATTTCCAAGTGGCGACCAACCATCCTCTAAAGGAAAAATGAATATTCAAGTGGATTAAAATTTTCTAGTAATGCATCATATTATATTCAGGGAATTCGGCCCATTGAGTCTTTCTTCCTTTGGAGTTTGGACTGCAATGTTTGGGCAGTTAGTCCCAGAACATGCATCCTACATACATTTCTTCATCTTTACCATATAAACTTCCATTTACACAATGTTTCCTAAATCTCAAATCTAATAAGCATCTGAGGAACAAAAAAATGATGATCATCACGAGAACTTCTGCCTTTGCTTTCCTACAATTGCTAATGATTGAATCAGCAGTAGGCCAGGCTCTGGTGAAGCCTGGTTGTAAAGAGCATTGTGGGAATGTCAGCATTCCATACCCCTTTGGAATCAGAGCAGATTGCTACATGCACAAAGAGTTTGAGGTCTCCTGCGGTGAAACTTCCAACCCCCCTACAAATTTACTAACCAGCATAGAGACTGAGGTGCTGTATTTCTCTCTTGATCACAGTATAGTTAATGTCAAAATACCAATCACCTCTCAGCAGTGTTCTGTAAGATTGAATTTTTTGGATTTCTCGGGGAGTCCTCTCATGTCCTACAAAGGGAGAATGTTGTTGCTCCCTGAGGGATATGTTCCAGCTTTGTTAGACAGGGTGATTACTGATGAGGATCCATCACAATTACCATATAGATATGATCATGCATTTAATTGTTCCCAGTTTAATGGTACCATTGCTAATTCTTCCTTCTTTATAATACTTCTTCCCTCCGTACCTTATGGATGTCAAGGTATAAACCAAGGGTGGCAGGTGTACCAATTGGAATTTTTTTATTATGCCTATGATATTTTTTATTTTTGTTAGTATTGTCTTGCTGATTTTATTTATTTATTTATTTACTTTTTGTCTTAGAAATTGACAAACGCAATATGACCCCAGGCACATTTTTAACTGTGGTTGGGACTCAATTTGTGTAAATAAGATAGGGGACTAGGCTTGCAAACCCATAGGCAAAATAGCCTGGCCTATAATTTTGGGTAAGATCCATATTTTTGGACTTTTATTTATCATTTTAGAATATAAATCAATTTTAAACTCAAACGCATACGCCTGCAGTTCAGTACCTCTGTCTTCAACAGAGCTTGTCACTAGCATCTATAGGATAAACAGATTCACTAGAATGCCACAGTGCCACACCTATCTAAACCAAGGAACTCTATAAACTTGGAATCTCATCAATTGACAATTGACAAGTTTAATTGATTGATAGGCCTCTTGAGTGCAAGAAAACATTATCTGCTCCCTTAGACAAAGTCAAGCCTCTCATCTCAGCCACCATACCAGAATATCAAGTTGGTATCTGCCATCCAGATTGTCTCCACTGAGAACTTTTGTTTCGTGCTGCCCACGGTGAACTCAGCTATTTTTTCTAGCCTTTCACAAATTCTGTCTTCTGGTAGCCAACAGTCATAACAAAAGGAGGTTTGTTTGTCTATCTACCATCCCCAGCTTCAACACTAACTCCATCTCTCATTATCTTTTTCACCTAAAGATCTTTCTTAAAGACCATGTGCAATTCCGTGGACTTTTATTGATTTCATTCCATTTCATTTTGAAATTTGAATAGTTCTTGATATCTGCAGGAATTAACCTAGGGTTTGGAGTAGTGTGTTTACCTATTGGTACATGGTCGTTGTACAAAATCTTAAAGAAGAGAAAGAAAAAGAATCTTCAAAAGCAGCTCATCAAACAAAATGGAGATTAATTATTGAAGCAACAACTATCTTTAACTGAGGGTAATATTGAAAAGACCAAAATATTTAGTACGCAAGAGTTGGAGAGAGCGACTAACGATTTCAACAGGAATAAAATACTTGGTCAAGGAGGCCAGGGCACTGTTTATAAAGGAATGCTGGCTGGTGGAAGAATTGTTGCAGTTAAGAAGTCCAAAATATTGCATAAAGACAAAGTTAAAGAGTTCATCAATGAGGTGATCATTCTTACACAAATTAATCACAAAGATATTGTTAAGTTATTAGATTGTTGTTTGGAAAGTTCCTCTGCATGTTTATGAATTCATCTCCAACGGGACACTTTTCCAGTACATACATGATTACAATGAGGACTTCCCATTAACCTGGGAAAGAAGGTTAACAATTGCCACAGAAGTTGCAGGTGTACTTTCCTACTTGCACTCAGCAGCCTCCATTCCCATTTATCATAGAGACGTTAAGTCCTCAAATATTCTAATGGATGGAAAGTACAGGACAAAATTTTCAAACTTTAGGATATCAAGATCAATTGCCATCGATCAAAATCATTTGACCACAAATGTGAAAGGCACATTTGGGCACCTAGATCCTGAATATTTGTAGTCAGGTCAATCTATAGGAAAAAGTGATGTTTACAACTTCGGAGTTGTCCTTGTTGAGCTCTTAACTGGAGAAAAACCAATTTCTTTAGCAAGAGTATAGGAAGAGGAAGCAAGAAGTTTGGCCTCTCATTTCATTCTTTCCATGGATGAGAATAGTCTCTTTAATATTCTTGATGCTCAATTAAGGGAGAGCTCTGCACATGAAGAGATAACAAAGGTTGCTAAACTTGCATATCAATGCTTGAGCTTGAGTGGTAGAAAGTGGCCAAAGATGATAGAAATTGCTGCGGAGTTAGAACAGATTTGTCTTTCACAAAACTATTCAAATGGTCAACAAAATCATGAAGAGGTTAGGTATGTCAACGCTGGAGTAACCAATCGTTGGGATGGCACCTCGAATTCAACAGGTTCAGGTTTGGACCCTGGAGTAGCTTTGTCACTAGACATGGAGTCGTGAATTTCCAGTTAATCATGGGGACTTAAATGATTTATCCTAGAGTGCATTTACTCCATGTTAGGGGATGTAATAAGTTCTTTCTTTTTTGAGTTTGAAATTTTTTAGTTCATTTAATTTTTATTTTTGTCACATTGTAGTTCAAAGTTCAAATAAGGTATGCACAACTTGGTTACAATAGTTTGATATGATGACAGGCTAAAGTATTATTGAACCATTTCCTTTTCAGATTTAAATTTATTTCGTTCTACAAAAACTTGCCAGGGTTAAATCAAGTCCCCAACACATGATAAATGACACACATCCTTTAGATTTGGTGCTATACAGATATTAATGTGTATGCATGAATTATTTAATTGTATTCCTAAAAAGCTAGCATAAAGTCATTTCCTAATTCCAGTTCAACTATCCTGAAACTTTCACCACTCAAGATAAATTTATCTTAGCAGCATATTCACAATCAGTGAAGCATTGAGTATATTTCCTTGCTTGGCTTATCTTTTAAATGTATGAGTAGAAATTTTTTTAGAGGAAAAAATAGTTATTCATGCCTTCAGCATTAACAAACAATCATCAGGCTAGCATGAAATACCCTTAATTTCTGTATAGCCAAAAAACCATATCGTAAGATAACAAGGTATTATAGCATTGAAAACCCAGATAATAAGACTTACCTGTGTGCAGAAGTGCCAAAGTAAACAGTTATTCCCTTGAAATAGCCTTCCAAGTAGTTTTCTTCTATCTACACACTCAAAACAAGCATCATAAGACAAGAAGATGCCTATCTTCTGCCATGCATGATATGAAGAACCAAGATGATATACCTCAAGCATCAAAGGATGAGAAGACAACCATGAAAGTTCCTCAACTTCGTTTAGGTTAACATTCCGAGGTAAAAACATAATGACATTAGGCGTTATCCTCTGAGCAGCCTGAAATAATGAGTATCTACAGGATGTCTTGCAATCAGACATACAACAAAGTGAACTCAAAGTTCAAAATGAAATGGGCATGTTACAAGAATCAACTAAATAACAAGCATAACATAAACAAAGATACATCACAAATGGTTTATCCTACTCAATTCCAATCCAAGTGATATTTTAGTCTGCCAAAGAGACTCAGCATGAAATATTATACATACATACATATATATATATATCTTTGCTTATGTTTAAGGATTACTTTAAATTTTAAGAAACAAAAAATCATAACTCATCAATAACAAAACCAAGAGGTTGTTGGCTTCGCCTATTTCTATGTTATGAAAATCATAAGGTTTTGAAAACATAAAGAGGAAATTCAAAATTATTTAAGCTTGGACAAACAAATTGTGGTTAAAAATTTTAGCTAAGCATAATTAGACTGGATATCAGTCATTCAGAATCTGAAGGTAATGCTTGCAAGGTTATTAAGTCTGCAAATTTTGAAATCACTTGATGCTTTTTCTTTAAACAATTGCATTTAAAAATGAGAACATGCAGGCAGCAGGAAATAAATGTTAAAAAAGTCTCTCAAATTTGAACAGAACAAAAAAAAAAAAAAGAAGGAAAAAACCCAGCAAACAATCATAAAAATGCATACGTACCCATCTTTTGGCTTCAGTAAATCCATGGTGAAATTCTGGATTGTTTTATATGATGGACCCCCCCATGGTGGTGAAACGAATACTACATCCCCCTAAAAACAGAAAAGAAAGTTGAATTAAGATTGGAACTACTTAAGATCAGCTGGAAAGTCCTATTCACCCTACATAATAAAATTCTGCAAGGAAAAAGAAAATATAACCCGATCCCTATGGCAAAAAGAAATTTAAAAAAAAAATCAAAACACTACTCGAATACTTTAACTTAAGTATTGCAGATGCAAAACTTCTTTAGTTTCATCCTGTCAAAACTCTGTAAAGCTGATAAAATATGTTATTATTGAGAACGTATTTGGGATACAAACATCAATTAAAAAAAATAAAACCACTTAATTAGTTAAGTTCAACCCTAACATAAAAATTATCCAGAATTGGCAGCAGTAATGAAAACAGAAGAAAGTACCTTCAAGTATGGAGCAAGTTGGAAAAAGCCTTTAATAATAAAATCAATATAATCTTCCACTCCATATATACTTGCATTGTTGAAAGCCATTACAACTTTTTGAGGGTCAATGTCTATAGCAACAACAAATTGGCACCTAAAAAAGTAAACCATTTGTTAGGAGATTCCTATATGGTGAAGGAGTATAGAGTTGACATGGATAGAATGAAACTATAATATGAGTTCAAGCAAATATACAGCCACAAGTCAGTCGTCAAGATAAACAGAATTCAAAAATACTTGTGTGTACTATAAAAAGTTTCAGATGTTCGATTGGAAGGCTACCTGGATGAAAAAGCAATGGTGCCTTCTTATTGTCCTAAAACAAAAGAAGTTCAATTGGAAACTCTCATGAGAATATTGTCAAACCATCCTAATAAACATCTCTTTCCCATTTCGTAGTATAAGAAATTTATTCTAGTATCTGAAATGGACTAACAAGTTAGGCAATCCAAGCAACTAATTTTCCCACTGAACAATGCACATATTAAGAGTCTAGGAGGTGCCAGATAGCCTGACACTGTAATTAGTTCAAGGGCAGGGAAAACAGAAAGGAAAAAGGTTTGATTAAGAAGGAAAAGAAAGGAAAGAAAACAACTTATACCTATCATCCTTTGGTATACAAAGGAAATTCTAATTTACCTCACAACTGTATCCTTATACGGTTATACCTGATATGCAGACTCTAGATAAGGATAAAATAATAACTTTGAATGCTAAGAATAGTGGCTGTAAACAAGTTTCTCCGCTCCCTCCAACCAAAAACAGTGTAAAAGAAAATGTAACCAAGGTGCATTGCATTAAACTATCCCAGTCCACCTCAGGTATCCACAGGATAGAAGATAATATCAGCTTGCAAGTAAGCAGTCCAATGTTACCTAAATCTATTCCAGTTATTAAGGACAATAGGAAACTCCTAATCACCAAAACTTATTTTAACCTATAAGACAACACATACCACAAATTAACTTTTATCGAAAAAGCAAGTAGCTGAA